GACATGGTTAACTGTAAGTGCTCGTTACGACGAATAAATGAATATTAAAACATAGAGAGCTAGATTGCGTAGGGTGGATTCATTATTAGATGTTGATAAACTGGTAAAAGCTATCAGTGGTGGTTCCGACAGATAACGTTCTGGGATATACATGTAACGTAGATCTTCATAAAATGGACAGTCAAGGGTAAACTGTAGTTCATCTTCTACTGAAGAATTACATAAAAGACAAGGTCTTTCAGATTTTGGGATGGACAGTTTTCTGCCTCTATTTACCATTAAGTCCAACAAACCTGTCCTATATTTGACAAATATATTTATGTTACACTTAAAAGTAAGTTTAGATAAATACAGTTCAGGTTGTAATATGTTTTTAAATGTTCTATATAATTCGTAACGAGAGCTGCTTTGTAGGGTGAAATGCCATTCCTGATGAAACATATTTACCGCTCGATCACGAAATTCTTTTAGAAACATAACGACATCGCCCACACCCTGGCTTATCCATATAAACCCATATCCATGAGAAAACAAAAGATTTCTAATATGTGATGCCCAAGATATTTTACCCATATTATCTAGATGAACCATCATATTATAAGATATTTTTGGTAGACGACTTTTATGCATTAACAGAACCTTAAACCAATATTTAAGGCATCGTATTTGCGAATTAGTAGGATAGGATATCTCCCGCATTCACCCTAAACCATATAATTTGGAGTAGCGGATCCAACACATAAAAACTTCTTGCAAGCCATAAGATGTAATCTCTCCAAGTAATCGTAGCGTTGAAATCCCCACACTTCAAATCCCAGATACAACCCATTTTATTATATGGATCGGAAGTGTGGGGAGTTAAAATTCCACATTCATGTGAGATAGATAAAATTGAAAGCATTGCTTTCTTTGCACGTAGGAACAAGTCATAGACACAACTTTTTAAACTCATCGTATTTGAAAAAAATATCCCCAGATATTTATATTGATTAACAATAAGAACAGATTTTCCGTGAAGAAACCATTTCTCCTTAGATGCAACAGCGCCACCCCTTCTGAATATGACTATTTTAGTTTTGTCTAAATTTACGGATAGTTTCCAGTTTTCAGAATAATTTTCAAGAATATTTAGCTGATTTTGCAAACCAATAATAGTATCAGATATCAAAATGACATCGTCTTCAAATAGGAGCATCAACAGTTCTATCATATCTGGGAACATCTATACACCATGTTTACCCTTTTGCATAATCTCATAATAACATTCGTTTATGAAGAATGAGAACAAAATCGGACTTACAATGCATCCTTGTCGTAGTCCCATTGGGCAGTCAAAATAACCTGTTGCACCATAACCACATCGTACACAAGATTTTACATTTGAATACATTGCTTTTAACATAGTATACATTTTCCCGCTTAAACCGGCATTACGTAAGCAATTTGTGTCTATCTACAGAATCGAATGCTTTCTAAAAATCGACAAAAGCTACATACAGTTTGTGTTTTCGACGGGATAAACATTTCTGAATCAGTGCATACAAAGTAAAAATATGTTCAGTTGTGGAGTATTACTTACGAAAACCAGCTTGATTCTCAGGAATCTTATCTCTCACGTTTGCCCATTTAGAGAGTCGGGTATTTAGTATAGAAGTGAAGACTTTGCCGAGAATACTCATAAGAGATATTCCCCTATAATTATCGGGATTATTAAAGTCACCTTTCTCGTGAATTGGGACAATAATAGAAATTGACCAACTGCGAGGAAATACTCCTTTTGTGAACAAACTATTAAATCATTTGTTGAGAAATGGAAGAATTTCTGTAATAGAACATTTAAGCAATGATACTATCGGGACCAGCTGCTTTTCCACATTTCAATTCTGAAATTGCATTTGTGATTTCATCATCCGATATAGGCGAGTCTAGTACAGGTTCATCTACTTCATCATGCGAAATTTCTAAAATGTCTTGGCCATGGTCATATTGATCGAGCCATGAATTATTTGCGAAAACATTCCTGAAATGAATGAGCCACTCGGTTTTGGAAATTGAATTTTGTTGAGAGCATTTAGTTCTGATATGTCGAATTTCTTTCCAGAATTTAGACTAACAATGCATAGAATTACTGAGGCTGTTTAGTTTGTTACATTTGAATTCCTGTTTAAAGTTTCTGTAACATGTCTTGTACCTATTTCGCTCTTTACAGTATGTCCGTCTGTTACTATCAGTGCGTTGACATCGAAACTTTCTTAAAGCTCTACGTGCATTTCTCTTGGCCAGTTTACATTCTCTGCTGAACGGTCTAGATTTAGAACTGTCTTTTTCATACATTCGGCCGATTTCAATATCATATTAACGAGATCATTGACAGCACCATCAATATCAACCTCAAGTTTAATCAGTAGGTTTTCACCAGACTGGCCCAATTCTTGACGTAGAGTATTCAGAAATGTAGTACAGAATGAGTCATTCCAAAATTTCTTATCAGTAATGGTTGGGTTGTTATTAGACACATTTGATGTAGGGGTCATTTTGGGGAAGCTACAGGATAACTCGAGTGGAAAATGATCTGAATCAGAGTGTTCACAGATATTAAAGTGTTAAAAATATTGGAATAATTCCGGGGAACAAATAAAGTAGTCATTTACTCTACAACCTTTCTCACTACAGTATGCAAACTCACCATTTACGTCCCCTTTCACTCTACCGTTAACTTTGAATAAATGGAAAGCATAACACATATCTAGCAATATGCAACCAAATCTATTTACCGTACTATCATGAGATTTACGATTCTCGACTGGGGTGTCATCATCGTCACAGTATGAACCAAAGTTCACTCGGACACACAATAGGATTATTGAGTTGACCAGTTCTAGCGTTCATATCTCCACATAACATCAGATGAGAGTTGCTGAACTCTGTTAAGTTATCAACTAGGAGTTGTTCAAGTTGATCAATGCTGCAACTTGAGTCACAATTATCATAATATGGTGAACTCATAGGAGGCATATAGGTACATATCAGTTTTATATCTTTGTCGATGGAAAATATTTCTTTTGTCAAATTTACACAAAGAGCGTTATCGATATGTAATTTTGACAACATACATAGTTTCTTGATTGATTCGTGAATGCACAGGCATACTCCACCGGATAGACGACCAAACATGGACAGTTTAACAGCAGGACAATAGAATACGTCGTATCCATCTAACCAGTTCATGTTTAAATTCTCAACAAATGTCTCTACTAAGCATATAATTTTGAATTTCCTGAGATAGTCAATGAAATCTGAATCTTGGATTTTACTTTTCAAACCATTTACATTCCAGCACAGAAAAGTAAAATGTTCGTCTGCGTGGTTACCACACGATGCACCGTCAGGACTGCGTGTGGTGTTCCACGAGAAGGGTTCCTGTGGAGGTTGTTCCGGGCTTTGGCCACACTGCTAGGCAGTTGCACCCTGAGCAGTGGCATCGTTGCGGTTCTGGCTCCGTGTTGAGATCCTCCTACCTATGCTGCGTGACGTATTACGCTGATCCGCGGTTGATTTCACGCTACCTGTACGGGGCACTGACACGAGCTTACCGTTCTTAAAGAATCCGAACTGACCTGTTCCTTTCAGCGTTTGTAGTTGCTTACGTTGACGTCTTGTGAGGTCACTCGCAATTCCGTACCCGTTTTCTTTCAAGACCGCTCTCGCCTTCACTTTAAATGTCCAAATCACCATCATCATCTATATGTTACATTCCTGCTTGACAACGGTACAAGAACTTGTATCGAAAGGTCGCACCCACGCTATAAAAGAAGTTGTTTTCCATAAAGTTTTCAATAATGTAATACTTTCTCAATTTCCACCATTGAATAAAGTCGATTTAATTATGTCAGTTTCCAATGTTGATCATGCAACCATAACGCAGATACCATTAAATATACAAAGTGATCATTTATTGGGGAGGGAGTGTGTGTGTGTGTGTGTGTGTGCGCTATGCGCGGAAACAATCATCTCTTCTGAGGCAAGAAAACATCGAAATATATTATTGTCAGTTTTGTACGATTCTGATTTGAGTTTACTTAATCCTTAATATGTGTGTCTGTAAAACATGATACATCATATTCAGAAATTTGCCCAATATACCGTCTGTTTGTTTACATTTAAGTGAAATATAGACATTTCCTTATTGAGTACATTGGAACTGGACCAGGATTTCCCTCTACATCTCCAGGAAGAAGAGTGTTGATATTATAATGGACTAATTAAAATACTGTGCTAAACAATGATTGTAACGAAGACAGTGATTGACCTATTGTTAGGTGAGGTGAAAGTTATTAAACATTTATTAAGATGCACATATATTGATGCACTGTACTCAAATCAATCATATTCTAAAAAAATGCTATAGTATAAACCAGACAAGCACATCTAAGTTGACCTTTCTTTTCAAAATGTAAATTATGTACCAAATCGGGGTCTTGTATTTACAACTTGTAGGTAAAGCGGCCAACATTGTGCCACTAAATACAAGTCTATTTACATACAGTGACACAGTGCAATACGTGAGTGACTGTGTAGAAATAAACAGTAGAAGACAGACTAACAAACGTCAGGAACAGTGATAAATATATAATAGATGACTAAACACAGATGTCATGATGTGCGAGATATAAGCAGATATACTGGAGTGCAGTGCATTGTGACACCAGGCCATGTTGTGTGGACACTGGTTGTTTGTGCCGCCATTATCAGATGAAATTATGATAGCAGAATGACATGAAGGTTATAAAAGATTGACAGAAAACTGTATGTTATACAGAGTCAATAGACCTCGATCTCGTATGCATTGTTAAAAAAATGAACAATGCAAATGCAACTACATGTATTAGAGATACGACAATATCGTCAAAATGAATAATTGAGTAAATAAATTGACCTAGTTCTGTGCTCATACACTTTTCTACCTTGTGCTGCACCATGTTGTATCATCAGTTCTACAACACTCGCTTCGAATTGCCTCTCTCACACAGATAGTGAAATGCTGTCCTTCCATAGATATCATTCCTGTTAACATCAGCACCGGGTTGTATCATCAGTTCTACAACACTCGCATCAACATCGACACTCGCACACAGACAATGAAGTGCTGTCTTTCCAACATTATCAGTCTTGTTAACATCAGCTCCATGTTGTATCATCAGTTCTACAACACTCGCATCAACATCGCCTCTCTCACACAGACAGTGCAATGCTGTCTTTCAATTGTTCTCTGTCATTTTAACATCAGCTCCTAGTTGTATCATCTTTGGATCAACACTCGCATCAACACTGACCCTCTCACACAGATAGTGAAATGTTGTATTTCCCCGATCATCAGTCTTGTTAACATCAGCTCCATGCTGTTTCACCAATTCTACAACACTCGCATCAACTTTGCCTCTCGCACACAGATAGTGAAATGCTGTCCTTCCATCATCATCAGTCTTGTTAACATCAGCTCCATGTTGTATCATCAGTTCTACAACACTCGCATCAACATCGACTCTCTCACACAGACAGTGCAATGATGTCTTTCAATTTTTATAAGTCATTTTAACATCAGCTCCATGTTGTATCATCCTTGGATCAACACTCGCATCAACACTGACCCTCTCACACAGATAGTGAAATGTTGTATTTCCCCCATCATCAGTCTTGTTAACATCAGCTCCATGCTGTTTCATCAATTCTACAACACTCGCATCAACTTTGCCTCTCGCACACAGATAGTGAAATGCTGTCCTTCCATCATCATCAGTTTTGATAACCTCAGCTCCATGTTGTATCATCAGTTTTACAACTCTCGCATCAACATTGCGCCTCTCACACAGATAGTGAAATGCTGTCCTTCCATAGATATCATTCCTGTTAACATCAGCTCCGTGTTGTATCATCAGTTTTACAACACTCGCATCAACATTGCGCCTCTTTCTCAGATAGTGAAATGCTGCCTTTCCAACATCATCAGTGTTGTCAACATCATTACCGTGTTGTATCATCAGTTCTACAACACTCGCATCAACATCGACACTCGCACACAGACAGTGAAGTGCTGTCTTTCCAACATCATCAGTCTTGCTAACATCAGCTCCATGTTGTATCATCAGTACTACAACAGTCGCATCAACTTTGCTTCTCGCAAAAAGACAGTGCAATGCTGCATTTCCCCCATCATCAGTCTTGTTAAGATCAGCTCCATGCTGTTTCACCAATTCTACAACACTCGCATCAACTCAGCCTCTCACACAGATAGTGAAATGATATCCTTCCATCATCATCAGTCTTGTTAACATCAGCTCCACGCTGTTTCACCAATTCTACAACATTCGCATCAATTTAACCTCTCACACAGATAGTGAAATGCTGTCCTCCCAACTTCATCAGTCTTGTTAACATCAGCTCCATGTTGTATCACCAATTCTACAACACTCGCATCAACTTAACCTCTCAAATATACAGTGAAATGCTGTCCGTCCATCATTATCAGTCTTGTTAACATCAGCTCCATGTTGTTTCACCAATTCTACAACACTCGCATCAACTTAGCCTCTCACACATATATTGAAATGCTGTCCGTCCATCATTATCAGTCTTGTTAACAGCAGCTCCATGCTGTTTCACCAATTCAACAACACTTGCATCAACATCGCCTCTCTCACACAGACAGTGCAATGCTGTCTTTCAATTGTTCTGTCATTTTAACATCAGCTCCTAGTTGTATCATCTTTGGATCAACACTCGCATCAACACTGACCCTCTCACACAGATAGTGAAATGCTGTATTTTCCCCATCATCAGTCTTGTTAACATCAGCTCCATGTTGTTTCACCAATTCTACAACACTCGCATCAACATCGCCTCTCTCACACAGATAGTGAAATGCTGTATTTCCCCCATCATCAGTCTTGTTAACATCAGCTCCATGTTGTATCATCAGTTCTACAACACTCGCATCAACTTTGCCTCTCGCACACAGATAGTGAAATGCTGTCCTTCCATCATCATCAGTCTTGTTAACATCAGCTCCATGTTGTATCATCAGTTCTACAACACTCGCATCAACATTGCCTCTCTCACACAGATAGTGAAATGCTGTCCTTCCATTTATCATCAGTCTTGTTAACATCAGCTCCATGTTGTATCATCAGTTTACAACACTCGCATCAACATCGCCCCTCTCACACAGATAGTGAAATGCTGTATTTCCCCCATCATCAGTCTTGTTAACATCAGCTCCATGCTGTTTCACCAATTCTACAACACTCGCATCAACTTTGCCTCTCGCACACAGATAGTGAAATGCTGTCCTTCCATCATCATCAGTCTTGTTAACATCAGCTCCATGTTGTATCATCAGATTCTACAACACTCGCATCAACATCGCCTCTCTCACACAGATAGTGAAATGCTGTATTTCCCCCATCATCAGTCTTGTTAACATCAGCTCCATGTTGTATCATCAGTTCTACAACACTCGCATCAACTTTGCCTCTCGCACACAGATAGTGAAATGCTGTCCTTCCATCATCATCAGTCTTGTTAACATCAGCTCCATGTTGTATCATCAGTTCTACAACACTCGCATCAACTTTGCCTCTCTCACACAGATAGTGAAATGCTGTCCTTCCAACATCATCAGTCTTGTTAACATCAGCTCCATGTTGTATCATCAGTTCTACAACACTCGCATCAACATTGCCTCTCTTACACAGATAGTGAAATGCTGTCTTTCCATCATCATCAGTCTTGTTAACATCAGCTCCATGTTGTATCATCAGTTCTACAACACTCGCATCAACATTGCCTCTCTCTCACACAGATAGTGAAATGCTGTCCGTCCATCATTATCAGTCTTGTTAACATCAGCTCCATGCTGTTTCACCAATTCAACAACACTTGCATCAACATCGCCTCTCTCCCACAGACAGTGCAATGCTGTATTTCCCCATCATCAGTCTTGTTAACATCAGCTCCATGTTGTATCATCAGTTCTACAACACTCGCATCAACATTGCCTCTCGCACACAGATAGTGAAATGCTGTCCTTCCATCATCATCAGTCTTGTTAACATCAGCTCCATGTTGTATCATCAGTTCTACAACACTCGCATCAACTTTGCCTCTCGCACACAGATAGTGAAATGCTGTCCTTCCATCATCATCAGTCTTGTTAACATCAGCTCCATGTTGTATCATCAGTTCTACAACACTCGCATCAACATTGCCTCTCACACAGATAGTGAAATGCTGTCTTTCCCCATCATCAGTCTTGTTAACATCAGCTCCATGTTGTCATCATCATCAGTTCTACAACACTCGCATCATGCTGTCAGACAGTGAAGTCCTGTTTCCAACATCATCAGTCTTGTTAACATCAGCCCATGTTGTATCTCTTGTTTTCGCACACAGATAGTGAAATGCTGTATTTCCATCATCATCAGTCTTGTTAACATCAGCTCCATGTTGTATCATCAGTTCTACAACACTCGCATCAACATTGCCTCTCACACACAGATAGTGAAATGCTGTCTTTCCAAACATCATCAGTCTTGTTAACATCAGCTCCATGTTGTATCATCAGTTCTACAACACTCGCATCAACATTGCCTCTCGCACACAGATAGTGAAATGCTGTCTTTCCATCATCATCAGTCTTGTTAACATCAGCTCCATGTTGTATCATCAGTTCTACAACACTCGCATCAACATTGCCTCTCCACACAGATAGTGAAATGCTGTCTTTCCATCAACATCAGTCATCATGTCTTGTTAACATCACCAGTTCTCCATCGAACACAGATAGTGAAATTGTGTCATCAGTTCTATTCCTACAAACACTCGCATCAACATCATCTTGTTTACATCAGCTCCATGCTGTTTGCCTCGCATCTTTGTCTCTCACACAGATAGTGAAATGCTGTCTTCATCCATCATCAATCAGTCTTGTTAACATCAACATCAGCTCCATGTTGTATCATCAGTTCTACAACACTCGCATCAACAGTCTTGTTTTGCCTCTTCGCACACAGATAGTGAAATGCTGTCTTTCCAATCATCATCATCAGTCTTGTTAACATCAGCTCCATGTTGTATCATCAGTTCTACAACACTCGCATCAACATTCGCCTCTCTCACACAGATAGTGAAATGCTGTCTTTCCATCATCATCAGTCTTGTTAACATCAGCTCCATGTTGTATCATCAGTTCTACAACACTCGCATCAACATTGCATCTCTTCACACATCAACTTGCCTCTCGCACACAGAGGGTGAAATGCTGTCCTTCCATCATCATCAGTCTTGTTAACATCAACTCCATGTTGTTTACAATCATCAGTTCTACAACACTCGCATCAACATTGCCTCTCATCACAGACTCAGATAGTGAAATGCTGTCTTTCCAACATCATCAGTCTTGTTAACATCAGCTCCATGTTGTATCATCAGTTTTAACATCGCATCAACAGTTTACATGCTTGTTTGAGTGGCATTTTAGAAGTTGAGACGTACAATATAGTTTTATGGATAACAACTTCTTTATTTCGTCAGTGCGACGTTTCGATACAGATTCTTGTACCGTTGTCAAGCATGAATGATACATGAAGTGTAGGAGATGCATATATACTGTATATAACAATGTCACAACATAATAGACAAAGGAAACAACATAATTGCCATGATTGGCTAAGCAGTAAGCTGATGAAGCCAGTGAGTACACAAAGGATAGTGAATGGAAGCCAGAGATGTAGTTACAATGAGATGTTTATACAATAGATGCGATGTTTATACAGTAGATTTCTACAACACTCGCATCAACATTGCCTCTCTCACACAGATAGTGAAATGCTGTCTTTCCATCATCATCAGTCTTGTTAACATCAGCTCCATGTTGTATCATCAGTTCTACAACACTCGCATCAACATTGCCCCTCTCACACAGATAGTGAAATGCTGTCTTTTCCATCATCATCAGTCTTGTTAACATCAGCTCCATGTTGTATCATCAGTTCTACAACACTCGCATCAACACTTTGCCTCTCGCACACAGATAGTGAAATGCTGTCCTTCCATCATCATCAGTCTTGTTAACATCAGCTCCATGTTGTATCATCAGTTCTACAACACTCGCATCAACATTGCCTCTCTCACACAGATAGTGAAATGCTGTCTTTCCATCATCATCAGTCTTGTTAACATCAGCTCCATGTTGTATCATCAGTTCTACAACACTCGCATCAACATTGCCTCTCGCACACAGATAGTGAAATGCTGTCTTTCTACATCATCAGTCTTGTTAACATCAGCTCCATGTTGTATCATCAGTTCTACAACACTCGCATCAACTTTGCCTCTCTCACACAGATAGTGAAATGCTGTCCTTCCATCATCATCAGTCTTGTTAACATCAGCTCCATGTTGTATCATCAGTTCTACAACACTCGCATCAACATCGCCTCTCTCTCACACAGATAGTGAAATGCTGTCTTTTCCATCATCATCAGTCTTGTTAACATCAGCTCCATGTTGTATCATCAGTTCTACAACACTCGCATCAACATTGCTGTCTCTCGCACACAGATAGTGAAATGCTGTCCTTCCATCATCATCAGTCTTGTTAACATCAGCTCCATGTTGTATCATCAGTTCTACAACACTCGCATCAACTTTGCCTCTCGCACACAGATAGTGAAATGCTGTCCTTCCATCATCATCAGTCTTGTTAACATCAGCTCCATGTTGTATCATCAGTTTTACAACACTCGCATCAACATTGCCTGTCTCTCACACAGATAGTGAAATGCTGTCTTTCCAACATCATCAGTCTTGTTAACATCAGCTCCATGTTGTATCATCAGTTCTACAACACTCGCATCAACATTGCCCTCTCGCACACAGATAGTGAAATGCTGTCTTTCCAACATCATCAGTCTTGTTAACATCAGCTCCATGTTGTATCATCAGTTCTACAACACTCGCATCAACATCGCCCTCTCACACACAGATAGTGAAATGCTGTCTTTCCAACATCATCAGTCTTGTTAACATCAGCTCCATGTTGTATCATCAGTTCTACAACACTCGCATCAACATTGCCTCTCTCACACAGATAGTGAAATGCTGTCTTTCCAACATCATCAGTCTTGTTAACATCAGCTCCATGTTGTATCATCAGTTCTACAACACTCGCATCAACATTGCCTCTCTCACACAGATAGTGAAATGCTGTCTTTCCACATCATCAGTCTTGTTAACATCAGCTCCATGTTGTATCATCAGTTCTACAACACTCGCATCAACATTGCCCTCTCGCACACAGATAGTGAAATGCTGTCTTTCCAACATCATCAGTCTTGTTAACATCAGCTCCATGTTGTATCATCAGTTCTACAACACTCGCATCAACATTGCCTCTCTCACACAGATAGTGAAATGCTGTCTTTCCAAATCATCAGTCTTGTTAACATCAGCTCCATGTTGTATCATCAGTTCTACAACACTCGCATCAACATTGCCTCTCTCACACAGATAGTGAAATGCTGTCTTTCCATCATCATCAGTCTTGTTAACATCAGCTCCATGTTGTATCATCAGTTCTACAACACTCGCATCAACATTGCCTCTCTACACACAGATAGTGAAATGCTGTCTTTCCAAACATCATCAGTCTTGTTAACATCAGCTCCATGTTGTATCATCAGTTCTACAACACTCGCATCAACATTGCCTCTCTCACACAGATAGTGAAATGCTGTCTTTCCAACATCATCAGTCTTGTTAACATCAGCTCCATGTTGTATCATCAGTTCTACAACACTCGCATCAACATTGCCTCTCTCACACAGATAGTGAAATGCTGTCTTTCCAACATCATCAGTCTTGTTAACATCAGCTCCATGTTGTATCATCAGTTCTACAACACTCGCATCAACATTGCCTCTCTCACACAGATAGTGAAATGCTGTCTTTCCAACATCATCAGTCTTGTTAACATCAGCTCCATGTTGTATCATCAGTTCTACAACACTCGCATCAACATTGCCTCTCTCACACAGATAGTGAAATGCTGTCTTTTCAATCATCATCAGTCTTGTTAACATCAGCTCCATGTTGTATCATCAGTTCTACAACACTCGCATCAACATTGCCTCTCTCACACAGATAGTGAAATGCTGTCTTTCCAAAAAATCAGTCTTGTTAACATCAGCTCCATGTTGTATCATCAGTTCTACAACACTCGCATCAACATTGCCTCTCGCACACAGATAGTGAAATGCTGTCTTTCCCATCATCATCAGTCTTGTTAACATCAGCTCCATGTTGTATCATCAGTTCTACAACACTCGCATCAACATTGCCTCTCTCACACAGATAGTGAAATGCTGTCTTTCCATCATCATCAGTCTTGTTAACATCAGCTCCATGTTGTATCATCAGTTCTACAACACTCGCATCAACATCGCCTCTCTCACACAGATAGTGAAATGCTGTCTTTCCAACATCATCAGTCTTGTTAACATCAGCTCCATGTTGTATCATCAGTTCTACAACACTCGCATCAACATTGCCTCTCTCTCACACAGATAGTGAAATGCTGTCTTTCCAACATCATCAGTCTTGTTAACATCAGCTCCATGTTGTATCATCAGTTCTACAACACTCGCATCAACATTGCCTCTCTCACACAGATAGTGAAATGCTGTCTTTCCAACATCATCAGTCTTGTTAACATCAGCTCCATGTTGTATCATCAGTTCTACAACACTCGCATCAACATTGCCTCTCTCACACAGATAGTGAAATGCTGTCTTTCCAACATCATCAGTCTTGTTAACATCAGCTCCATGTTGTATCATGAGTTCTACAACACTCGCATCAACATTGCCTCTCTCACACACAATGTGAAGCGCTGTCTTTCCATTCAAATCAGTCTTGTTAACATCAGCTCCATACATTGATTAGTGATAATAATTATGAGTCACAATGTTTAAAGTTTTGAGTGTCGGTTGTGGGTCACATTTCGAGTCATATATGTTCAGTGGCAACAGTATTTTAGCGGCACGCCTTTATGATAGCACTCCAGAGTTACCTCCCTTGACCGGATGTTTATGTGTTGACATCGTGATGTCGTATGTTCAACATGTTTCGAGAAAGATCTAAGTGGTTAATGATACAGCCATGCTTTGCTGGAACGTTCGAGAATCTGTGTCAGTATATATAAAGGCTGGCTGTTGTGTGGTGCAATGTAAGGACTGACACACGGAATTACACGGGACTTTCGATATCACTGGAGTTGCCCATCGTTGTTTGCCTTCGTCCTTCGTCACATCGCCATCGTCTGACCCTGACACTTCGTGCCTGACTGCTCTCATTTGTAAACAAGCTCCATTTAGAATATCTGATATCACTGTGATTACCACGACTCTGGTCAGTTAATATTATATATGTGACCCATTACTTTAGATTTGTGACTCAATTGCATTGTACTAGAAATCTGTATTGTGATTCATTGTAACTTGCTCATTGTTTGCTCAATATATTATTGAATATTTTACACTTGTCTGTGTTATATTTTGCTGGTTCGAAGGGGATTCTTAAATATTTTGTCACGGCAATATATTAACCGTAACACAATTATCACGATACAAAGAGTATGACGTGCCAAATGATGTGGAATTGAATCCAGAAGTGATGCAGATCTTGGATGTAAGATACTTTGAGGAGACTGATGAGCACAGTACTGACAAACCAAGGAACATAATCAGGACGAGAAAGGGATTCACAGGTTTCTGGTGTGCCGTAAGATCCCAGGTCCCCACAACAAATCGTTTTAGTCTCTTCACTATCACCCCAGGCAAATTCCAACTAATTTAGAATAGATTTGGAATATCTCGTATGTAAAAACGATTCGATGGATGCAACACTGAACGGGCATAATTTATGTTGGTAGTTTAGTTACCTTCCAGCATAGGCAGTTGAAATTGTTCCAAAAGGTATTCGCCTCAGTGATCGATGGAAAGAAAGCCCGACAAAAGTCCTCGTTTTGAAAAAATGGATGACCAAGCACATCAAAATGTCTATCGCGCACTGGAAGGGTGAACCTCTCACACAAACGTCGGATGTTTTCTGGGGTTGCTGGTACGCTGAAGACACTTCTCGACACATCAATGTCATGGGTATGTGACGCTGAAAACTTCATTTTCTCCATTATAAAAGAGAAACTGAAATGTTTGAGAGCGAACACCACGTCGCGTGTGCCTGTGCAATTTGCTGCACTTTCATATATTGAAGGATGTGCGAATGTTATAATGCCTTGGGTGTTTGACAGATAGCTTCCAGTTAGAGGAGATGATACTTCAAGGATACCACTGCGCTTTTCATCGTCATCTATCTTACTGGTATCAAGTCGCCCATCATGTTGCAAGAGAGTCTTGAACAAATATTTCAGTTTTTCGTTATCTAGATACGCATCAGTCGTGGCATCTAAGATCTCAAGAGGAGAAGTAAAAAACTGAACAATGTCAACTTGCTTTCTCTTCAGCTTTAACTCTGCAAACAGTTTGCAACAATGTGGAAATCCGTATGGTATGCTTCTCGCAATAACTTTTCGTTTTTGTGTTTCTGATATATCATTGATATTCTTCTGATTCAGATGATAGTCTAGTATTGCGGATTGCTCCTTATCCGGCAGACGAGATAGATTTGTGACAGCCTTTACCCCAAGAATAGAAGATTTATGTTTTTCAAGGCTGAATTCAACTTCTTTTAAGATATTTAACCTTTGCACAAACACACAGATGACTCCACATGGCTGCCCAGATTCTTCAGACTTTGACATTTTTTCCATGGCGTCGAATATGACAGGTTTCCATGTGCTGAACGCCAGATTATCAAGAGCAAAGGCCCCTATTACATCGTTCATCATGATGACACATTGGTCTGTATTCTTTGTAATAGTGTAATAGTCCTCTACTGTCTTCACTCTAAACACTTCTTTTCCTTGCTTCATCATCTCCTCAAGCACCATGTAGGCCACAGTTGTCTTCCCATCACCACCATTTCCGGTGACTGTGATCCATTTTTGTCCAGCGTCAATCTTCTTCACGATGTCATCAACGAACTGTATTTTGATCATGCCAGATGTCCAAGTATTGATTTCTGAAACTGTCGCATCTGTGAAACGCATAAGATACAATGTTAATGTATCATCTTGACATTGATCGTGATTATGTTGCATATGCCAAAGCAGAATTTAGAGCTACATAATAATTTCACATCTTCACGAACTTATGATCAAACATACTTGTATGCACACTTGGCAAATATTTTTCAAACACTAACGGGAATTTTCAAGGTGCCACACTTACCTGTTATACTCTGTATTTCGGAGTCTTTTGGGGTTTCTGAAAATTATGTCACATAAATCAATGTCAGGTCAGATGTGTAAAACCCATCGCTTTCGAGTCTCCTACAGATGTAACATGTCAATCTACAAGGGTTTCATTGTAAGTGTTTTGTATCTTCCTCCAGCTGCGCCATTTCATGCAGCAATTTATCATATTATTCCACAAGATGTCGTTTTCCACAGTTTTTTTGTCATCGTAAAGATCATCCTACAGATGCACTCCTTGGCGGTGGGTCACGCCGGATACCCGGGTTCGATTCCCACACATGGGTACAATGTGTGAAGCCATTTATGGTGTCCCGCGCCATGATATTGCTGGAATTGTGTGAAACGGCGTAAACGCGCATGCACGCGCGCGCACACACACACAGACACGCACACACACTCACTCACACTTACAGTCATACAGGTGTTTCATGTCTTTCCTCAAATTAGGACATGGTAGAATAAAATAATATGAATGTGTATTATATGTATCTTGAGAGTCAAGCTCCCCCCCCCTAAAAATGGTCACCCATCAAAGGACACTTCGTTGCCTGACTGATTTCTGAAATGGGCACTATACACAAGACCACACGCAGGTGTTTCATGTTATTCCACATCATTCTGTATGTGTTTCCTGTTGGCCTAGGCTATTTTTATCATGCTACTAGGGTGTCATGTACCCTACAGATGTTCTATATCATGCTACTAGGGTGTCATGTACCCTACAGACATTCTATGTTTTGCTACAAGGGTGTCATGTACCCTAGAGATGTGCTATATCATGTTACTGGGTGTCATGTCACCTACAGATGTTCTATATCATGCTACAAGGGTGTCATGTACACTACAGATGTTCTGTATCATGCTACTGGGGTGTCAAGTACTCTACATAGGTTCAATATCATGCTACTAGGGTGCCATGTCCCCTACAGATGTTCTATATCATTATACTTGGTGTCATGCCCCCTACAGATGTTCTGTATCATGCTACTGGGTGCCATGTCTCCTACAGATGTTCTGTATCATGCTACTGGGGTGTCATGTCCCCTACAGATGTTCTATATCATTATCCTTGGTGTCATGCCCCCTACAGATGTTCTGTATCATGCTACTGGGTGCCATGTCTCCTACAGATGTTCTGTATTATGCTACTGGGGTGCCATGTCCCCTACAGATGTTCTGTATCATGCTACTAGGGTGTCATGTACACTACAGATGTTTTATATCATGCTTCTGGGGTGTCATGTTCCTTACATATGTTCTATGTCATTGTACTGTGGTGTCATGTCCCCTACATGTGTTCTATATCATGCTACTAGGGTGTCATGTCCCCTACTGAAGTTCTACATCATGCTACGCAGGTGTCATGTCCCCATACACTGTTTTGTATTACATGCTACTGGTGTGTCATGTACCCTACACTTCTTCTATGTGATACTAATTGCGTTGCCATGTCCCGTAAACTTGTTCTATATCAGGCAATTAGGGTGCCATGTATCATACATGCTACATGTCATGCTACTGGGGCGTCATGTCCCCTACAGATGATCTTTGTCATGCTACTGGGGTGTCATGTCCCCTACAGATGTTCTGTATCACGCTACTGGAGTGTCATGTACACTACATATATTCTATGTCATACTACTGGGTGTCATGTACACTACAGATGTTCTGTATCATGCTACTAGGGTGTCATGTACCCTTCAGATGTTCTATACCATGCTACTGGGTGTCATGTTCCCTACATATGTTCTATATCATGCTACTAGGGTGTCATGTACCCTACAGACGTTCTATGTCTTGCTACAAGGGTGTCATGTCCCCTACTGAAGTTCTACATCATGCTACGCAGGTGTCATGTCCCCATACAATGTTTTATATAACATGCTACTGGTGTGTCATGTACCCTACATTTCTTCTATGTGATACTAATTGCGGTGCCATGTCCCGTAAACTTGTTCTATATCAGGCAATTGGGGTGTCATGTATCATACATGCTACATGTCATGCTACTGGGGCGTCATGTCCCATACAGATGATCTTTGTCATGCTACTAGGGTGTCATGTCCCCTACAGATGTTCTGTATCATGCTACTGGAGTGTCATGTCCCCTACAGATGTTCTGCATCATGCTACTAGGGTGTCATGTACCCTACAGATGTGCTATATCATGCTACTGGGTGTCATGTTCCCTACAGAGGTTCTATATCATGCTACAAGGGTGTCATGTACACTACAGATGTTCTGTATCATGCTACTGGGGTGTCAAGTACTCTACATATGTTCTATATCACGCTACTAGGGTGTCATGTACACTACATATGTTCTATATCATGCTACTGGGGTGTCATGTACACTACAGATGTTCTATATCATGCTACTGGGGTGTCAAGTACTCTACAGATGTTCTATATCATGCTACTACTGGGGTGCCATGTCCCCTACAGATGTTCTATATCATGCTACTAGGGTGTCATGTCCCCTACAGATGTTCTGTATCATGCTACTGGGTGCCATGTCCCCTACATATGTTCTGTATCATGCTACTGGGGTGCCATGTCCCCAACAGATGTTCTGTATCATGCTACTGGGTGTCATGTACTACAGGGTGTCAGTGTATACAGATGTTCTATGTCAGGCTACTTGGGTGTCATGTCCCCTACAGATGTTCTGTATCATGCTACTAGGGTGTCATGTACACTAGAGATGTTCTATGTCATACTAAAGGGTGTCATGTCCCTTACATATGTTCTATGCCATGGTACTGGGGTGTCATGTCCCCCTACATGTGTTCTATATCATGCTACTAGGGTGTCATGTCCCCTACAGAAGTTCTACATCATGCTACACGACAGTCATGTCCCCATACACTGTTTTGTATATCATGCTACTGGTGTGTCATGTACCCTACACTTCTTCTATGTGATACTACTGCGGTGCCATGTCCCGTAAACTTGTTCTACATCAGGCAATTGGGGAGTCATGTATCGTACAGATGTTCTATGTCATGCTACTGGGGCGTCATGTCCCATACAGATGATCTATGTCATGCTACTGGGGTGTCATGTCCCCTACAGATGTTCTGTATCATGCTACTGGGGTGTCATGTTCCCTACAGATGTTCTGTATTATCCTACTAGGGTGTCATGAACACTGCAGATGTTCTATGTCATACTACTGGGTGTCATGTACACTACAGATGTTCTGCATCATGCTACTGGGGTGTCATGTACCCTACAGATGTGCTATATCATGCTACTGGGTGTCATGTTCCCTACAGAGGTTCTATATCATGCTACAAGGGTGTCATGTACACTACAGATGTTCTGTATCATGCTACTGGGGTGTCATGTACTCTACATATGTTCTATATCATGCTACTAGGGTGTCATGTACACTACATATGTTCTATATCATGCTACTAGGGTGTCATGTACACTACATATGTTCTATATCATTTTAGAGAGGTGTCATGTACACTATAGATGTTCTATATCATCATGTAACTGGGGTGTCAAGTACTCTACAAATGTTCTATATCATGCTACTAGGGTGTCATGTACACTACAGATGTTCTGTATCATGCTACTGGGGTGTCAAGTACTTTACATATGTTCTATATCACGCTACTAGGGTGTCATGTACACTACATATGTTCTATATCATTCTACAGGGGTGTCATGTACACTATAGATGTTCTATATCATGTAACTGGGGTGTCAAGTACTCTACAGATATTCTATATCATGCTACTAGGGTGTCATGTACTCTACAGATGTTCTGTATCATGCTACTAGGGTGCCATGTCCCCTACAGACGTTCTATAACATTATACTTGGTGTCATGCCCCTACAGATGTTCTGTATCATGCTACTGGGTGCCATGTCCCCTACAGATGTTCTGTATCATGCTACTGGGGTGCCATGTCCCCTACAGATGTTCTGTATCATGCTACTGGGTGTCATGTACACTAGAGATGTTCTATGTCATACTAAAGGGTGTCATGTCCCTTACATATGTTCTATGCCATGGTACTGGGGTGTCATGTCCCCTACATGTGTTCTATATCATGCTACTAGGGTGTCATGTCCCCTACAGAAGTTCTACATCATGCTACACGACAGTCATGTCCCCATACACTGTTTTGTATATCATGCTACTGGTGTGTCATGTACCCTACACTTCTTCTATGTGATACTACTGCGGTGCCATGTCCCGTAAACTTGTTCTATATCAGGCAATTGGGGAGTCATGTATCGTACAGATGTTCTATGTCATGCTACTGGGGTGTCATGTCCCTACAGATGATCTCTGTGTCATGCTACTGGGGTGTCATGTCCCCTACAGATGTTCTGTATCATGCTACTGGGGTGTCATGTTCCCTACAGATGTTCTGTATTCATGCTACTGGGGTGTCATGAACACTGCAGATGTTCTGTATCATGCTACTGGGTGTCATGTACACTACAGACAGATGTTGTATCATGCTACTGGGGTGTCATGTTCCCCTACAGATGTTCTGTATCATGCTACTAGGGTGTCATGTACACTACAGATGTTCTATGTCATACTACTGGGTGTCATGTACACTACAGATGTTCTGTATCATGCTACTGGGGTGTCATGTCCCCTACAGATGTTCTATATCATGCTACTGGGGTGTCATGTACCCTACAGATGTGCTATATCATGCTACTGGGTGTCATGTTCCCTACAGAGGTTCTATATCATGCTACAAGGGTGTCATGTACACTACAGATGTTCTGTATCATGCTACTGGGGTGTCAAGTACCCTACATATGTTCTATATCATGCTACTGGGGTGTCATGTACACTACAGATGTTCTATATCATGCTACTGGGGTGTCATGTACACTACAGATGTTCTATATCATGTAACTGGGGTGTCAAGTACTCTACAGATGTTCTGTATCATGCTACTAGGGTGTCATGTCCTCTACAGATGTTCTGTATCATGCTACTGGGGTGTCATGTCCCCTACAGATGTTCTAT